TTGCTTTTAATCAAAATGAAAAAGAAAATAATGCGGACAAAGTATTACGCGGGAAATGTTCTTAAGAGGTTTGCAGGTGGCATTTAAAAAGGATTTTTTAATTTAGCTTTAGAATGTCCTTTTCATCATCCTACCATGACGTAGATACCGACCTCCAGTCACCTTTTCTCCTACACCACCATGCTGTAGCCCACAGGCTCCTCTCACCTCCCTCGTCTTCCACCTCCAGCAGTTAGCCTCTAGGGTTTAGCCTTGGATAGCCATAGCCTCTTGCTGCTCATTCTCCCTGGCAGGTTCCTCTGATTCCCGAGCAGCAGTAGCCTCTCCCCACCCTCACCGTTCTTTTTCCCCAACTTATCCGATCTTTAGCCATGCCCCTTAGATCGTCTGCAGTTAGCCTAGCTAGCCTAAGTCAGCTGTAGCTTATCCTCACCCTGGCACTGTTTCCCAGGTGGACTTATCCAAAATTCTGCTGTGCTCTTCCGCTCTCCTCTTGAGCTGCCTTATGTCCCCGCTCCGGTGCGCTGTCTGCCCAATGGGCTCCTACGATCTACCAAGGTGGTTCCTTAGCTCCAGAGAAGAGCACGGCTGACTCTCTCCCGATGTTCTCACACCGATTCCCCTTTGCTTCTGACTGAGAACGCTGTTTTGGGCACACTGAATAAAAGAAACATGGACCAAGCACATGAGAAAGATGCTAGTCCACTTACTAATCAACAACACCATCACGTACAATTGGTGGTCTTCGCAATGCTCGGCCGGTCGCCAATCGAGGCCAATCACATGAAAACCAGCCAAATTCCGAGCACTGCTGATTGATCAGTGCAGGTCTATTAAAAACTGTTACTGTACTATTAAAATATACAGACGATTGGTATTGGATCTACTAGGAGTGAATGTGTCAAGAACAAACACCAAGGATAATGGGGAGATCAGGAAACTGTCAGTTTCCCCTGACAGTTGCAGGAGCATCTGGCAGTCAGCATGAAGCCCAGCAGATGCAATCTGCAATGACAGACTTATCTTTGACAGAACATTGTTAATGGCATTCATTAATTTCTTTTAACTGATATATTGTGGTAAGGTTTGGTCATTTTTCTTTTAGAAAATTTTTCACTGTCTGTTCTTTAACAGCATACAAATGCTGCAGTTTTTAGAGATGTAACAATACATCCATCTAAAATCGATTTAATAAGTTAATATCCAGTTACATCGATTAAATATTAAAATATCGATTTTTACCATTATCCTTAGAATATGCTAGCTTACATAGCATAAATGTATCACAAAGTGAACAGGTGATTTGTATTTTAGTTTGAAAACATCATAAAGTGTATGCCCGCTCAATATTTGTTGATAAATAATATAAAAAAAACGTGTTAATTTGTTAAATCTTTTTAAACAATGTTTAAGTCAACTCTAAAGCCTTCACTGACCCGACAAGATATATGGTTCATTCATTCACCAGCTGAATCTGATCAGTATCGGATATCGGCCGATACACTTAGCTCAGGTATCGGTATCAGATTGAAAAAACTGGGTCGTTGCATCTCGAATATAGATGCGCATGTGCTGGAAGGCATAGGATATAATTCACATGGATCGGAGACCGGCGAGCCGAATTTAATCAAAATCATAACGGGACAGACTTTCTGAAGCATCATAAGATCCAACAATTTAATGCAATACTCCATTGTGATAAAGCTGGTGATTTACACCACTACCATGTTGTATGAAATAAATACAGATCTGAATTATCCCTGAGTGATGTTTGACAGCAAAACTCAACAGCTTTAATGTTTTAATGTTGCCAGTGCAGAGTGAGTTGTGAAGAATTTTGTGGATATAATTCACCATGCCAGGCTGTTTGATTATTTATTGAACTATAGAGTGTTCAGCTCACATAGACTTTCCAGGAGAGGAAAGTGGAAAAAGATGACACCTTAAGCGGATTGAAGTTTTTTAACATGCAGAAATAAGAAAAAAGGAGGTGGTGCTACTTTCCAAATGTGGTTTACATATTCAGATCTATGGAGTCTAATCCCAGCCCTTCTGAATGTTTTTTTTAATATGCACATAGTGCAACATTATTCGTTCAAAGATTTCAATTGTGTCCCGACTTGTTAAGTTTTACAGCAGCCAGAAAATAACCAGTTTTATCCGATCATGTGTGTTTAAGGAAAGAAGATAAGCTTGGCATCTTTTACAGCAGCCTGTTGCAATTTTCTCCCGGTAAAGGTGTGTAAAAAAAAAAAAAATAACTTGGATGATACAATTATCGTTTTATTGCAATATTATAATTTTATACTAAAAACACAATCAGATCAGTAATATATAACCTTTGAATTTGAGCTAATTCAATCAGTGAGAAAACAACCTTAAAGATGCCCTATTCTACATCACTTTTAAAAGAATAAACATAATAATAAACAATAAAAATCCTATCAGTCTGGCAGTTTCTAGAGCATTAGGAGAACTGTGAAGCATACTGAAAGTGATGTGAAATCACCCCATGCAGGCACATTGCTTGTCTGCCTATACACAAAATAATTTTCAAATGTAGACCATTCCTGCATTTTATTTGTTGATTTGCTTTTTTTCAGTGAATATCTATGACCCAGTCATTAATTTAGTTAAAAGTTGGAATTAGCTTGTCTGCATGCTAAATATGTGGCACATAGGTTGCATATAAATGCTGTGTTGTCCTCTATATGTTGTAAACAGTGTTGTAAAAGCTCTTCTGTTTTTGGTTTCATGTTCCACTTAAAAGTTCAAGATTATATAATAAACTTTAAAAAAAGGGAGAGACATGACCTGTGTGAACAGGAAAAGTAGTTTTTCTGTCATGATTTTATTTATTAGCGGGACAGCTGTCTGCCCTCATGTAAAAATGGGATTGTGCTCCTGTTTTAAATCATAAAAGATAAAGAAGGCTTGTAGTTGTAAGTCTCACTTTTCATTCTTAAAATCAGAGTTCCTGAGTGAACTGTAAAGAAAACATTAAAACAAGAGGCAGGGCAAAAATGGCCTAAATTGCAGAGTTTTCAAGACTATAACTATCAATGACCACAAAAAGAACACATTGTTTCTGCACCTTATCCAAAAAAAAAAAAAAAATGTCCACACTGTCTGGAAAACATTCTGTGCACCGACAAGACACAAGAGTAGGGCTGCAAGTAACGATTATGTTGCAAATACATGAATCAATCGATTATTTTTACAATGAATTAATTAATAATCGGACATCAAAACTAGAACTTTGACAAAATTGAAAATTGACAGATGAAAAAGATGTTTATCTTAAATGCAAAATATTTATATATATTTTTTTACAATTGTGGTATAACTGCTGCTCAAGGTGGGTTGCTCTGTCAGTTAAAGGCATGTTTTAGAGTCTCTAAACTCCAGTTAACGTTTAATTGATTACTTAATTAGTTGATGATTATTTCAATAATCCATTAATCAGATTACTTGTTTCAGCCCTACCAGGAGGGGTTTCTAACCATCGCTATATGACAATGCAAGCAAAAACACCAAATCAAAAATGAGGTGGTTTTAAGGCGGCCTAGTCAAAGCCCTAACTTAAATCTGAATGAGCTTTGATGCTCAGAAACCTTTCTACATAAGAGAGTGTGTCCAAATTAATAATTTATAGGGATAATTACCAAGTACTGCAAAGGATTGTAGCAGAACCCGGTATTAATTTAGTTACATATAAGTTTCTGGATTAATCTCCTCTTTTCACACAGTGCACAGCTGGGTAATGTAAGGTGGAGTGGCGGCCTAGTGGTTAGGGCATTAAGCTTGGGTTCCAGAGGTTCTGAGTTCGAGCCCCACTTCCATAGAATGCCACTCTGGGTCCCTGAGCAAAGACCCTTAACCCCACTTTGATCCCCGGGTGCCACACAGTGGCAGCCCACTGCTACCCAAGGGGATGGGCTAAAAACAGAGTGAATTTCACTGCTCTGTACTTGTGACAGTATAATGACAATAAAAGGTGGAAAAATAAAAAATTAATAAATAAATATTTTTTTTCTGTAACAAATTAAATCAACCTTGTGTTGCTTTTTGTATTTCCTCAAACTATGTTTGCACAATATTAACATATTATTGATCATCTGAAACTTGAAAGAAGAAACCTGGGAGGGGGTAAAAACTTTTTTTTTTTTAAGTACTGTATAAAACCACCCTCCTGCCATTCCAAATATAGTGAACATGGTTGTCATCTTGTTGTAATTCAGGATGCAGCTGACAGCTTTTATACTTCTATGACTGTTCCTACATCAGATTTATTACATGATCAGCACACTGGTGTAATGCGCAGAGGCCTCCACTCTGTCACAGCTGGACATGAGCATGGTTCTTGTTTAATGGAAGAAGCAAAGCTTTATCCCAGGCTAAGACTTCTCGAAAACACTTCCAAATCACGCGAGAAAACGCAACAATGCCATTATCTTTTATGTTTATTTAACCGCTTTGTTTGTTTAAAAACAAAACGAAGAGCTACATTGTTAGAGCCTGACAACAAGTTTGGCGTGTGTCCATCCTGTAGCTGTTGTGTTTTCAATGTAAAAACAGCCAGAAAGAACAGGCAGGCAGTGTTAGCACCAGGGCTGCTTTGTGCTAGCATTTGGCACCGTTTGTTGTGCTTCTGTAAGAGTGACTCCTCACTCACACTGAGACCAGTTTCCAGCAGTGTGAACGGTAAATAAACAAAGAATGGCGTGATACTGAGGGTTCATTTCAGCCTGTCGGTAACAGGACCAACGGTCTGGGTTTAACCGGTTCGCTGTCACCCGTTTGGGAATTCCTGTGCTCGTTTGTGAAACAAAGCAAGGACAGAAGAGGCAGCTCAGGCTAGATTCACACAGTCACCATAATCGCATACAGTGTGTGTGCTGTTTCTGAGCCCCCTCCGCAACAACACAGTGACCGTTTACAGCGGAGACATCTCTCCGCTGTAACTGTCAGACTCATCCGAGATGAGACAGCCCTCTAACCTTTGTAATGGACCCGCAGGTTGTTCTGTGACAGCCCGATGTAGCTGTATTTATCCTTGGGGCTCCAGGATCGGGGTAAAGGGGTCTCTTCCTCGTTCACAGCCGGGTAGAGCCGTTTCAGCCGCTCGTTCAACTCATGCTCTTGTTGGTAGCTAAAAGCTGGTTCTCCCAACGCCAGACACCCTACGCCGAGTTCGGCCATGTTTTTTTCCTTGGCCTCCGGTTGGCGTCCTATTCTCGGTCTGTTTCCAGCCAGAGACCCGTGTCAGTCCACCAGAGCTGTAGGCTGATAGTGAGAGGGACTATAGGGAGAAAATAGCAGCGATGCGACATCACCGGATAAGCAGCAGTCTGTACTGAATCCGTAGAGCTGGCATTATGGGTAATGTAGTTTGCCCATAGTTCACTGTAAGGTGGAACGCTTTAGAAAAGACTACACAGTTCCGCGTTGTGGCTATGCGGAACCTTCCGCTGAGAAAGCTGGGAAATGTAGTTTATTTTCATAGAAACGTCAATATAAGTTATATATATATATATATATATATATATATATATATATATATATATATATATATATATATATATATATATATATATATATATATATATATATAGTAGAGATAATATGCAGTCACGGAAGTATCATTCAAAATTTTCTATTAGAATATAAACATATCCAAACATTCAAACATTATTCAAATTTTGTAAATTGATACATTTAATAATTGAACTTTATTGATCTCACATTGCAGATATGAACCTCCGCATTTAACCCATCCCCTTGGGGAGCAGTGGGCTGCCATTGTGGGGCTCCCTGCGAGAAGTGTGGGGTAAGGGTCTTTCTTCTGTCACGTTTGAGATAATCAATTTTATTTTAATATTATTCAAACATAATTTGAGGAAATACAAAAGCAACACAATGTTGAATTTATTTATTACAGAAAAATTTAATACAGAATAATACAGAAAATATTTTTTCAACTTTAATTGTCGTTACACTCCACAAGTACAGAGCAACAAAATTTGCTCTCTGCATTTCACCCATCCCCTTGGTGAGCAGTGGGCTGCCATTATGGGATGCCCAGCAGTGTGAGGTCAAGGGTCTTGCTCAGGGACCCAGAGTGGCATTCTGTAGGAGTGGGGCCCGAACTCAGATCCTTAGGATACCTAACTCTAAGCCCTAACCACTAGGACGCCACTCCCTTTTTTATTTTATATTGTTCTTTATTGTCTTTTATTTTATACACGAACATTAATATATTAGACTTACACTCAAAAACTTAGACTTAGACTCAACTTTATTAATCCATTGGGATTACTCCTTCAGTGAAATTCTGGTTCTAGTAGCTAATATAGAGTACAATGGACAGAGTTAGAGCAAAATGGCATTAAAGATTAAAATACATCAGACAATAATGTAAAATGTAAAAGTAATGTAAAATAATAATGTAAAAGAAAAAAGTCTATTAGAGCTGCGACATAACTAATCTTTTAAATGACAAATAGAGTAAAAAAGTAAATCAGCATAAAGGAGTTCTAAAGTCTTTTGGACAGCTGACAAATAAACATGACTTGCACAAGAACATTTTTTTGAAGTATCTTCAGGTCAGGAATTTTTGCTACTGATTTATTGAAGTGCAGTTATTATGTGCAGCCCCCACGGTCTACTATAGAGAATATGGCTGTTAACCATCATCAAAGTAGGGGCTTGCTTTCCAAATTTTATGATATTTTAATTGCAGCCTCAAAAGAAAGAAGCCTTTCATATTTACATGCCTGGAGATCTGATATGGAAACAGACATTTCAGTGGAATAACCCATGTTAACCTGCACAAAAAAAAAAATTCAACACAAGATTTCGATTAGAACAGTAAGTGGTTTTTTAGAAACTATATCACACAAGTGAAACTCCATCATTTGAACCCTAACATTTCTGATGATTGTATCAAATGTGGTAAAGAAAATGGGACGCTTTATCATTGCATGTGGCAGTGTGTGGAACTTCAGAATATTTTGGGAATAAATTTGTATTGTAATTTCAGATTTGACTGAATGTAAAATGTCCATCGATGGTAAACTATGTGTACTGCACATTTTTCCAAATAGCTTCAAATGCAATACAAAGAACAAGAAGCATTTTTGTTTAAAACAGGCGAAATATGTAATTGCTTTGAAATGGAAGGACACAGAATGGCCTGGGGTGAAACAGTGGATTAAACGAATGTTGAGCAACTTGGAACTGGAGAATCTGACATATATGGCTAAAGGACAACTGGGGGACTTTAACGATATTTGGTTACCCTTTCTAAGCCTGTTGTAATTAAGTGACGGGGGTGTTTTTTATTAGTTTTTTTCAGGGTGGAAGAGGGAATTTTGTTTATTTTTCATGTTTTAGTGTTGATGTGTGTTGTATACATTTTGTCTTTCATTGAAAATGTAAATAAAAAAATAAAAAAAGATAAATAAGTAATGGACCATTCAAGCTTTATAAAGATACCTTAGGCATAAGGGCAACGCACACGCATACAAAAAAACACACACACACACATATATATATATATATATATATATATATATATATATATATATATATATATATATATATATATATATGTGTATATATATATAATATATTTATAAGGTTTATAAGTTTTGTGTTTTCTCATTTATACAGGAAGTGATTGTTTTATAATTGAGCTTGCACTGTAAGGGATGTCCCCAGATCGAAATTATAAACTTGCTCCTTTACCCAGAAACCAAAGCTAAGTGATGTTTTTTATCGGTTAAATTTTTTTATTGGTAACATGCCACCTTACTTTGCAAAGCGGCTTTGCCTAAAAGCAATATTAAATTGGTACATGTTTTTCTGTAAACACTTATTTAGACAAGAAGGTGTTTTAAGTGCAAAATTCTGATTTAAAAGTGAAGAGAAGGAATTTATTTTTAATGAGCCTAAGGAAAATGAAATAAACCTAAACTTTTTGGGTTATTTTGTCCATTTCTCTGCATATGTTTTACTTATACACACTTTCCATAGACTGTCAGTCTTAGCTGTTTGTTCTGCGTTTCCATGTGTTTGATAAACCAAGAGCTGCGACTAGAGGAGGCAGCTACATTTATGCATGCCCAGGGAGAAAGCCTCGGCTCCTGATGCAGCTGGAAAGTTACACGAAGAAGGAGGTGCAGAGCTTCAGCCACACTTACAGGAACTGAAAGTGAAGGTGAGGGGTTTCTGTTCATGATAAAGATAACAGAGGAAATTTCTTACACTCTGCCTTGAACTCACATGTTATTGTGCTTTCCGCAATGGTGTGTAGTGTAGGCTTTCAGAACATACTGGCTGCTTCTTTCTGCCATCAAAATGGAATATTAGAACCCTTTAGGTTGGTAATACAGTACATTTCATGTCATGATCCTATTGATTTTTGAGGAAAAATACAGGAACAAATGAGTAATTATCTGTTTGTTTATTTTTTAAGAATATATATTTTTAATCATTAAGGTAGATTGTATTTAGGGGAGTGGCGGCCAAGTGGTTTGGGGCATTGAGCTTGGAATCCAGAGGTTCTGAGTTCAAGCCCCACCCCCACAGACTGCCGCTCTGGGTCCCTGAGCAAAGACCCTTAACCTCGGAATGCTCCCAGGGCGCCGCACAATGGCAGCCCACTGCTCCCCAAAAGGCATGGGTTAAATGCAAAGAAGTACATTTTGTTGCTTTGTACCTGTGACAGTGTAATGACAATAAAGTTGAATTCTATTTTATTTCAATTGAATGTCTTATTACAGAGGAACTGTCAAAGCATTTTTGGCAAAGTTTGTGATTAAAAACCTTTATTCAAAGAAGAAAAAAAAACATTTGAAAGTCCAAGTAAGAATAATTTTAACAAAGGACTGAAGTACGTATATCCTCTGCATATTTCCGTGTTATTTCTACAAAATGTGGGTGCTTTTCCTTTCTGCACTGTACTTTATTTTCACATTTCACATCGAATATTGAATATGTTCTTAACCACAAACATATCATAGATCTATAATAAATACCAGAAAGGACACAACTCAACTCAGAAAGGTGATTCCTACAATGAGGAAATCTAGCCAGTTGCGTGGTGTTATCTATTTTGCTGAATTGTGATCTTCCAAGCATGTGGTGATAGTAGAAAGGAATAACTCACTTTTAATAAAAGAAAACCTCCAACAGAACCTGACCCAGTGTCCCGTCTGTCACTATGGAGTAGGCCATCTCGGTTTATTTGCATTATTTATCTGTTAAGCCGTCCCAAGGTCTGATGCCCCTATGGTTCCAGCTGTGACTGGTGGCTGAGAGAGGAACAGAATAAGGCTCAGATCTTGTGAAGGCAGAATCAGCAACTGCTGGGGAACAGGAAACCCGTGATTGAGAGAGAGGAGGCTACATAAGTCATTGTGAATAACAAACATTAAAGTTTAGGGTGGATCAAAACTATCTTTGCTATCTGTTTCTCCTTTTTGTTTCCAGTCGGAGCTGTCCAACTTGTATCTGCAGCTCAGGAAGGAGTGTGTTGCCCACAGGCTGTTGGTCTAGCAGCTCACTGAGCTGAAAGGAGGTTCTGTTAAGATAGAGATCTCTGCAGAAAGAAAAGCAGGTAGAGCTTCTGCTGTGAGACCATTATTCACCCAGAAGACTGAGAACATATTTGAGGTGTGGATTTGATTTGACTTTCGCCATGCAAATGAAAGTAGGCATTATTTAAGGTAGAGAGAATTTAGAGTTAAGTTTTGTTCATAATGGGTAGTTCTAACATTTTCCAGTCTGAAGGACAAAGCACTGAACATGCCGACAAAGTGGAAACACAAAGATTTTTTAGAGGTCAGCAAATTATTTCCATATCTTTTCTAATTCTGCTTCACATGTCATCTATGCATTTTTTAAATCAGAGGTAATGCTTAGCTCAGCATTTACAGAATTATTTCTCAAAATTCATAAATCAGTGTATAAAATTGTACAACTTCTTTGTTTCCCATTTATTTAAACTATACTGTTATTGTAATCGTTCAAAGTGATCAGGCTTTCGTTTTCAATTATTTTTTACACAGAGGGCGAGAGTGGTTATGGATTTTTTTTTTATAAAAAAAAAACAATGCAATTATAGTTTAAATGGAGATGTTTTACTCCACTTATCTTCATCTAATATCATAAATTATATGATGTGAAACATCAAACTGCAAAAAAACAAAAATATATGCATATGGTAAAGCAAGTTAAGGCAATACAAGACAAGTGTATTTTTATATCAGAATTTAGTACATGGACACTTCAAAGTGCTTTATGTGAATTAGATGATAAAATAGAAGAAAAATAAAATCAGAATAA